AAATTTAAACATAATTTGCTTGAATGGCCTCACTATCTATCGGTTTATCAAACAATCTTAGTTTAGTAGTACTCATTAAAATAAAAATTGAGTGGACTTTCATTTAAATAATAATTATAATAACACTACTATTAATAATAAAAATAAAACAATTAATGTATTTACATATTATGATGTTGTCTACACCGGTATTATGAAAGTTAGTATATAAATGGTGAACACTTGTAGTCATTGATCATTCAAAATCATATTCAAGTTTTGTAAATTACAATTATTTAATTTGTAAAATTCATCATGCTTAGAGTATGTATTGAATAAAATTTCAATATAGCTTTTAAAATATAGAAATAAGTTATAATATCTTTAATAATTTAAATTATTTTATTAAATCAGTTCATAGCATTGTCGGCGTTGTTTGCCATTTGTAGTGCAAGAGGTTATGGCGGTTATGGCGGTGGCAATGGTGGTGGTTATGGTGGAGGCTCCCACTCCATTGAATTGCCCGTTAAGTCTAAGCATGACCTCGAAGTGATTCCCATTCACTCGGAACAGGAGGACCACTCAACCTATGTTGATGTTCCCGGTGGTGTCCTTCCCGTATATTTGACATTCAAGACCCAGTCATCACCAGTATATGTGAAACAACAACATCGTGGCACCAAGGGCAGTTATCAAAAGTCAGATTCACACGATGAGCCACATAAGCTCGTCCATGAAGTGGTCAAACCCGTCATTCAGGAGCTCCGAGAAATCATTACTCCGTACAGAAAGGTTGTCCAAGTTATCCAACCCGTCAAAGAGGAAGTGCTCACTAAAGTACATAAAGGAGAACGTGGAGGGTATGGCGGTAATGATGGTGGAAATGGCGGTTATGGTGGTAATGATGGTGGCTATGGAAAAGGATACTAAACTTCATCACAACTAAACTTTTAAATGCAATGTCTCTATCATTGTTTGCTAATATACAACAACTATAATATAAAAACTTAATTTAAACATTGAATGTTTGAACTGATTGATAATTTTTGGTAAACGCACATAAGATTATTATAAATTTATTATTTATATAGTTGTTTATCTAAATTTTGTGATCTTTAAATTTAAATTATTTACTAATTGTTTAAAATGTATGTTAAATAACATTATTGATAGAGACATTTGAATTAGTATGTAAATTCAAACAATCATCAAACAATTTTTATAAATCTGATCATTTAATAGAAATCAAATAAATTGGCACTAATTTAATTAATTATTTGTTTATTTTTATAAATTATATTTATATGATTCACAAGTGATTTCAGTATAATAAATACTAAACTTATACTAAAATATTTATAGAGACTAAATATATTAATATTTAAAACGATTAAATTTTTAGTTTTAATACTAAATCTTTTATTTTTACTTAATATAATAATATACTTAATAATAAAAAATTATTGACAATCACTGCTAACCAAAGTACTGTAAAACTGATAATTAGCAAAAATTAACTGATAATAAATCAAAATAACTGTCATTTTTTTGAAAAGTCATAAACTATTTGTATCACTATTATTATAAATATTTGAATTAAAACAAATATTGAATCTGAAATGACATAAATAGCAAATCATATTAAATACAATAATACAGACAATATAAGAATATTATAATAATTTAAAATTAAGTTTTTCTTTAGTATTAAAAGTAATTTATTAATAATTATAAATCAAGAGTTAATCATTTAATATGATAATAAATTTCACGTTATAATAAATGGCATTATGAAGTTAGTATAGTTGTATAAATTATATGTCGGTATATTATTTTTATTTAGGAATTTACTGTAAATAAACACTTTCAATGTTTTCTGATATCTATTTTAAGTTAGTGTTATTATGTCTTAATATTGATATAAAATTAATGAAATTTATATATATTGCCGTTACAGTAGAGTCTTTCCTATAATGTGTTGGTATTAAAACATCATTTCATAAAAATGCTTGAATTAAAGTATAACTTTACCGAAATTAAATTATACTATTTTTTAACACATATTTTTCATATATTCCAAAATTGTTTGTCTTAATAATGCCAACAATTGACTCCTTAGATATAAGTTTTGATTTTTTAAAAACATTGTTACGATTATAGACTAGAGATAGGAAAATAGAAATTATAATGAATTTATAATAAAAGTTTTTATAAACCAATATTTTATTTTTATGCTAAGAAATCCTTAGATATTTATACCAACAAATTGCATCACTATATATAAAATTAATATAATTGTTAATATAATTGTAGTTTATGTAAACAAATTTTCAACATTTTCAAATTTTTACATTAAATATGATATTCACTTTTAATTGTTTTCATTACTAATAGTTTTATTTATTTTATGCTATAAATTGTAAATTATATATTAAAACAGTATATTTTTACTAATAAAAATTAGTAAATTACTTATTAAAACTTTATTTAGTTCATATAATAAGGTTATATAATTTTATAAAGTATGAAAGTTTATTTTTTGTCATAATATTTATTATTCTTTATTGATTATAAATTTTATATTATTAATTGTTTATCTCATATATTATATTGATATTATAGATAACAGTTTTTATTATAAATTAATTATATATATATAATAAATATTTGATTTTTTAACAGCAGTTAAATTATATAAAATTAGAACAAATAATATAATTATTTACAAGTCCTATAAGAATATATATACAATATATTAATAGATGTATTTTAAATTTATATTTTTTAATGTATATTTTTCAAACTATTATAGTATTATTATTAATAATACTAATTAAATTAATTAACTTTAATTAAAGTAACTAAAAATTTTACTTTTATTAACATCGTCTTTTTATTTGATTTGCATTCAACGGTAATAATATTTGAATTTATTTTAGACTATATTATAATTTTTAAAATTATAAATTATATTATAAAATTTAACAATATTTATTATATTTTACATAAAACCAGTTGAGAATGCTAGAAAGCATTACCAGAAACAAATTTAAATGACGTAAATTTAGTTTTGGCAAAAAAGTGAAATTTATAAAATAATAGAGAAATTTCTAGAAAGTTTCTAAAAGAAATTTCTATCTATGGGATTACCATTTTAATTTTGTTTTTCTCGATATATATTATTATGTAACAATACATTGTTTTTACAAGTAATAATTAAATATTAGTATTAATATTTTAATTATTAATTAATGTAACAATTTATTTATTTAATTATCTTAAATTCTTATATATTTAATAAAATGATTATTAAAATTTTACAGAACTGATTATTATTAAATAATTATAATTATTTTACATATAGGTATCGAATTTTTTATAGTAGTGTATAATATAATGTTATATGAGTAGTAGTATTTCTCATTATATATTAATATATATATATATATATATATATATATTATTACAATAGCTATAGATATGGGGATCCCATAGTATAACAATAAAATTAAATATCTATAGAAATTTATTCCTGAGAAATTTTCTAGAAACTTTCTATTTGCACATCTCTATGTAAATTACTTCTTATAAAGTCATAGTTGAAGTTTTAATAAAATAAGATAATTGTTTTGAGTTATATTATATTTATCTAATACTATATATAATTATTTCTAATTTCAAACCATTCAAAATTTGTAAAAATAACTTTGTCGGCCATTTTGATTATGTTAAAGACAAGACTTCTTAAGACAAACTTTTATACGTTTGAAAGCTTTATATGAATTCAAAGTCAAAATTTGCACTTTTTTATACTTTGGCCGCCATTTTGACTATGTTTCTACTGAGATGATCATGGTCATTTTTTAATGCTCATCCCTTTTATCTTATTTTCTAACTGTTGTTTTAACTGAATCTGAAATTCACAAATAAAATTAGACACATAAACACACACAAAATACTTGTATAGATTTCAGTAAACAATTTTTTCAAAATTTGTTAGAATATAGTATTCATAATATTTCATCATATCATGTAATTTTTAATAAAATGTATAAAGATAAAAAATAGAGTAAAAACATGATTTTTAGTTTAATTAAAAGTGTTATTAATAATTTATATAACAATTAAATACTTTTATTAAATGTATTTAAATCAAATAAATTAATATCAGTTATATATTATCATTAAAATTTGACAATAAGTGTATGAATTAAAATAAGAATTAACATAAATATTAATTTCATATTTTTGTTATAAAAATATCAACATTTCAATTGCAAAATCATTAAAATATAATTAACAATTTCAATGTTTTATTGTACAATAAAATACATAAATAAAATTTAACAACAATAAAAACAATCTATTTATTAGATTATTAATATTTAAAAATAATTGTATCTTAAGTATTGTATAAATTAGATTAAAATGAAAAGCAATAGTAAAATACTATATATAATAATTAGTAGCAATATATCATTTATTTCAATGAAATAGACATTTTTTTTATAAAAATAACATTATTATTATTATTGTATTAAAAATATTTTATTTACTTATTTATTATAAGCATAATAATCTACTTAATTAATAACACGTTTTATGTCATTTAAACGGCAATTACCCAGAATGTGTCAATTTTATTTTTATTTTTATTATTTTTATTGCTTATAATGTTTAGATTCATCAGATAATTTAATATATGGTGATTTCTCAATATCAAACATCACACACAAAATAAAGTACAGTATATAACACATATATATTACATAATATGTTATAATGACTAAGAAATTATATCAAAGAATAAAAATAAGTATAAATAAAAAAAGATATTTTCAAATTTGGTTGTCTTTTTAAATATTATTGTGAAACTCTATGGGTGTGTATGTAAATGACTTGACGGAGTCAACTATATAAAAGTGGGCATAATTTCGATACAATTTCATATCATAACCTTTTAGCTAATAATTTCAGTATTTGTAAATTTAAGTTTTATTAAGTATCACTTTATTTATTTGTGTTATTTATATAAATATTTGTAATAATGTTTAGAGTAAGTGAAATTTATTAATTGAATAAGAAATTTCAAATTTAAATAAATTAATTGTTTGTAATATTAATATAAAATTATAAACATTTATTTGTATAGTTCATTGCATTGTCTGCTCTGTTGGTCGTATGTGCCGCCCGTTCCTATAATGGTATGGGAGGTGGCTATGGTGGCGGTTATGGAGGCGGTAATGGTGGTTATGGTGGTTATGGTGGTCACTCTATTGAATTGCCCGTTAAGTCGAGCCATAGAATCGAAGTGATTCCTGTCCACAGTTCAGGAGAGAGTCACGCAACCTATGTTGATGTTCCCGGCGGTGTTCTCCCAGTTTACATGACTTTCCGCACCCAATCGTCACCCGTACACGTGAATCAAGTACACAGAGGTAGCAAAGGCTCGTACCAAAGCTCGTCATCAAAGGACGAACCACATGTGTTGGTCCACGAAGTGACTAAACCCGTGATCCAAGAGCTCCGTGAAGTGATTACTCCATTCAGAAAGGTTGTCCAAGTTATCGAACCGGTCAGAGAGGAAGTGCTCACAAAAGTACATAAGGGAGAGCGCGGCGGTTATGGCGGCAATGATGGAGGAAATGGAGGTTATGGTGGCAATGATGGATACAAAGGAGGGTATTAAACAATAACACTCAATGTATTTACGGACTGACACTCAACAAATTACCTCCTTTTTTAACTCACGGACCCATTGAATCCCTTATACATCCCTATCTCTCTCTCTACACAACACATCCACAAATTGGCACATTTTGCAAAGTTATTCAAAATTTTGTGTTTATTAAGTATAGAAAAAAACTTGTGAATAAAATTTATAAATATTTATTATCAAATTACATTTTTAATTAAATGAAATGATAGAAAATATTTATTAATTTTATGTAATAAATATTGTTACAAATAAATGTTATTACTTTGTAATTTGTAATTAATTAAAAAGACCTGTAAGTATATGAAATGTATAAAAAGACAATTGTTTTATAATATAATTAAATAAAATTAAAAAATTGACACCAATTTTTGTTAGTTTGACAATGATTTATATCATTTAAATCTATATTTTTTCAAAAAATTAAGTAATAATTAATTATTTAAGTGTGACTTATATATTAAATATTGAATAAATGTATTAATTATAAACTGATTTATTTAATATTATTATATAAACTTTCCTTTAAGTTATTCATAATAGCTATTTGTTGAAATATTTAGTAAATAAGTTTAATTTAATTAATCAGATTTATTGTTAACAGACTGCCATTTATCTTATATAATTTATATTGTATAAGCAATTATCTTAATTAATTATAAGATAAATTTGAAAAACAGAGTAAACTTAATAATAAAAAGTTTCAAAGTTTGTTATATTAAATTTATTTGATTATTTATAATGAGTCCTTGATCATTTACAGGTTTTTAATTATATTTATATAGACTTTGATCAGTAATTTCAATATTACCTCTCAAAAACTGATTATCTGATATCTAAATCCTAAATTCAATTATTATACAATTGGTAACAAATATCTATAAACAGTATAATTAAAAATTAGACTATAAATGTAGAGTATTTGTTTGATAATGTTTTAAAATATCTTAATATAAGATTATTTAAACATATAAATACTTAATATTTTTTCTTTTCATTAAAACCATTAATAATACTTTTACTTTAAATAAATGATATTTTTTTATAATAGTCTAAAAATGCTGCGACTCTTTACTCTGATATTATGTTTAGGTTTGACTCTGGCCTCAGTTCCCTATAAGGATTGTGGTTTGTATAAGAAAAATATTAAATAATAATAATTATGAATAAACTATATATATTTAAATAATATTACTAATAATTTTTTTTGTTGAAAAATAGGCAAAAAAGAGGTGACAAATGTTGAGATAACCGGTTGTAGTGGCGAACCGTGTGTTTTTGTTAAAGGAAACAAAATTACTCTTAGCGTTGACTTTACCGCCAGTAAGTATAGTAATATTATATATATATATGATTTTTATTATAAATTTATAAATTACAATATAATTGTTAGACCAGGACTCAGATAAGGCTGAGTTCAGTTTGATTGCCAGTCACGGCGGTGTCGATATCGATATGTCGACACTTATTAAGGACTTCGATAAAAACGGTTGCCATTCAACTACTTGTCCCATCAAAAAGGGTGCCAAACAATCATTCAAATATGACATTGTTGTTCCCATATCAGTTCCCGATGTAAGTCATTTTGTCAATTGTTTTTCATATGATTTTATTTTTATGTTGAAAAATATAATAACATTTTAAATACTTTATTTTAAAAATATTTTGACACTTCTTACAGATCGAAGTCGATCTTAAGGCACAACTTAAAGGCAATTCCGATGAACTGTTTTGCGGATCAATTCACAGCCTTATTAAGTCATAAGTATTAACTATAGTATATTTCAAACTGTTTTATTTATTTAAAAAAATAAAAATTTATAAAATTGATAATATAAAATAGCAATAAAATATCAATTATATTTTATTCTGTATTAAAATATGTTTAATTTTTGTTGTGATAGTTTTGAAATATAATTGATTTTTTACAAAATGATAATTGAAACTTCAGAATAAAATTATTTGATATTACTGTAATATTTTCAACATTAGTATGATATTTAAAATGTATAAAAGCATAATACTGTATAATGATAATATTATGAATTTACAAAATTATTGCTTAAAATATTAAATGCTTTTTTAAGATTATAGCAAAATTATTAAATCAATTATAAAGAGAAATTTGAACAATATTTGATCAAAAATTAATAAATAAATAACAAATAATAATAATATGAATGACGTCTTTTTATTTATTATAAAAATTGATAATTTTTGTACAAAAATAATTAATAATTTTGACAAGTAATTTGTTTGGAGGTTAACATCATAATAAAAATGATCCAGGTGCTATAATACAAGTGCTCATTTCTTGCCTAATCCATATCCAATAGGATAACCATAAACACCGTAATTATAGCCATAATAAGGAGTTTTGTACACATATTGCGAGCTATAGGTTGGCAAGTAATTGTAGCCATAGGACGGGTAGTACGTGGATACAGCATAGGGAGAGCTGTAACCATAATTGTATGAATACGGGTAGTCATAATAGCCATAAGAAGTTGGCAATATTGCTTCAGTAGCCCAAACCATAGCAATCAATACCAATAATGGGATCTAAATAAAACAAAATATATAAATAGTTTATATATTTTATAAATAAATAATTAATTAAAATAATTAAAATTAAAATAATATTTACCAAAAATTTCATTTTTATTTTGTTTTTGTGGATTTAGAGTGTCTTAAAGTAAAGCTAATTATTTATTTATTTTTTCTTAGTTTGCAAACTCTATTTATATACTTTTTTTTGCCCAATAAATTATGTTACTTATAAACAAATTGATCTTGATAAAATGTTATAATGACATAATTACCAAATTATTTGAAAGGGAAAGTCCTTTCGTTATTTTATTATGGGTTCAAAACACTTTGCAATAAATATGTTAGTTATAATGTTAATAATTTTATAATAAAAATAATTACTTAAGTTAGCGTAAAATCCAAGATTTTATGTAATATTGATTAAAATTTTAAAACACATATTTATCAATTTTCATTATTTCATATATGCTATTATATAATGTTAATATAATACAGTATAAACCAAATATTTCAACAATTAATAGAAAGATAGATAATTAAAGATGAGTTACGACTTGTTTTGATGTGTGGATACAATTTATAATGTATAGTCCTGTTTACGCAATTAATGATTCAAATTAGTTAAAGATTCAATAATGGCGTCAATATACTATATACAGTATAACGTGATTCAAATAAATTAGCTATTTTTACTGAATTAGTAATAATGCTTATTTAATTGGTTCAATGATTTATATTATTTAATAGTTTCAAAGTATTAAATTTTACATTTAAATAAGTTTTCAATATTTATTCAATATTCATTAACTGTTAATTTAAATTGTTATACATCGTTAGTTATTAAAATATCATTTAATATATAAGACTTATTCATTTGTTTATATGTATAAAATAATTTATCATTTTTCAATTAATTGTTTCATAATAAAAATAATGATAATTAAAGATATAAAAATACCAACATTTCTCAAACTCAATCATTTATCTATAACTTGTGTTTTAAAAATTATAGCAAAAATTGTGATTTTTTATTAGGAAATGGATATATTCTAAAATGGAATTGTTATTAAAGATTTTGGTAAAATTTTTCATAAAATTAAAAAAAATAAATAATTAATTTCAATATAAGAATCATTATTATCTGATAACAAAAAAAATCATTTGTTCACTGAACTAATAATAATAACATTATATTTAACATATTTGAAAATCAAATTTTAATCACTTTAAATAATATACTGTATATACATATGTACATACAATATATATATATATATATATTGAAATACAGTTAAATAATATCAATTTTACTGTATTACCAAAATTAACAGTATAAAATTCAACAAAATTATATAATGTATTAATATATAATTTTGTAAATATATTTATTTAATTTATTACAATTTTATTTTTATTATTTTATTTGATTACAAATTACTACATATATTATCATATTAAAGTTTGCTTATTAATAAAAATAATACAGTATCTACACATCATTTATATTTAAATAGAATATTACTTAGAAAATAAAATATTATTATATTATATTTTAATACTTAGGATTTTTATAACATATCATATAATTTTATGATACACTGCTTATAAATCATTAAAATTTGCAATAATTAAACCGTAAAAAGATTTATTACATAAAACTTTTATAGTTTTATGTAAATATATAAATATTAGAATATGTTTTTAATGAATTTACAATTAAAGATAAATGCAAAAGTTAATTTTTATTTCAATAATTTATAAAAATAAATAAAATTTTATTTTTTAATAATTTTTAAATGAATTAATCGGAAAATTTATTTTTCAAACAATTTAAAGGTTGTTTTCTTAATATAATGAGCCGTTAATTATGTAAAACTTATTTATTTAAATAAGTATAAGAAAAGGGATAATTTATATAATAGCCGTCATTGTATGTATCATAAGTGGTGCCAATATTAACTAATGTATCAAATCCTGAATCGTATAAACCATTGGAAGCATATAGTGTTGAATCCACATAAGTGTCCGGATAATAGAGTATCGGTGCGGCCAATGATATTGAAATCAATGCAAACAGTATAACCTATATAATTGAATGCATAATATATATTAGTATTACATTAATATTATTTAATTAGTTATTTACCAAAAATTTCATTATTATAATAATAAGTAAAGTTTTAATTATATAAATAAGTGTTGTTTAGTAAAGTGTAGCACTTGTATAGTCGACTAAATGCACTTGGTACTTTATTTATATAGTAGCAGTCAGATCAATAATCTTAATTTTTTATTATGTCCTTCACTTTGACCATTAAAAAAGGGGTTAAAGTTTTTTATGGGTAGATTAAAGTTACAAAAATCATATAAAAATGTCAAAACTCTTTTATGACTATCATTTTTTATATGAACTGAATTTTGATTAATATTAATTTCTATTTCTATTATCATTTATATATATATATATTAAGTAATATAATAATGAATTTGAGTACTAAATATTACAAAAATAAATTTTTTTAATTATTAGTAATTTGTATATCGGTATAATATATTTATATAAAAATGAATTAAAAACAAAAATATTTTTAAAAATATCTCTTTGATAAACTGTTAATTCGATATTTTTAACTTAAAACTAATTTATGTTAGGTTTTTACTAATCTTTAATAATTATTTGTTGTTTATTAAATATAAATTATACAAATACTACAAATATATATGAATATCATTTTATTAATTCCTTTTAAACAGTTGTGCCATCATATAAATTGATAAAATCTTGATTATACAAAAAAAATCACTTTTATAATTCAAAAAAAGGTAAATCAAGTTTAATGTCAAGTAATAAATAGAAAAGTAAATAAATTTTTAAAACAGAAGTTTAATGCACTTTATTTTATTTAATTTAACATTTTGATCTACATTTATGTTTAAAAATGACATTTATATCATATACAATATATACTTTAAGTAAGTACTGTAAGTATAAAGATTTTGTTTTATATACTGTATTATACCAATTGTATTCATATAATTTAAAAATAGTATTTACCTAAAATTAAAGATAGTTTGGCGATACAATATAATTAAATTGAAAGAGACTAATGGATATCAACATTATTATAATGGTTTGCCACAAATTTCATTATGTTTATATTATAGTCAATAATGATTAAATAAAATCTGGATAAAATCAATATATATATATATTTATTTATTTATATATGTTTGAATGTGTCCTATTATTATTAGTAATAATAATACAAAGTGTCTGTTACTTAACATAATAAACAATAATATAGCTATAGCTACATAAATGTATATTATTATATTTACACAACCTAATTGCTGTATTTTTTAGGTTTGTAAAAAATATATTTTTATAATTTGATGTTATTTATTTTTTATCAAACATCAATAACTTATAGATTTAAATATCAATATTTGGTTCATTTATTATACAATATATTTATTTTTATATAATATACATTTGTTATATCTATATTTTATCAATAAATGGACCGGTTATGCAATTTCGTGTGATTTGCCAATTATGTGATTCAATGTTTTATATAACCTAACCTTTAACACATAGCCTTATTGCAAAAAAAATAAATTGGAAAAAAGTTTGATATGTCAATATTGAAACCCATATATTTGCATAAAATTATCTTATTTTTGATTGCAATAATAATATTTTCAAAGTACAGTAGTTGTAATATAAAATGTAGTACAGTATATGTTAATACATTATTCCTAAAAATTGCTTATTATTTTTTGCTTAATTATATATAAAAAATGTAAAGTATATAAAACAAATAAATCATGTGTTATTGTAGGAAAATAAATAAGTAAATAAAGAATAATAATAAAAAAATCAAACACAAAAACGTATAAATTATTTGGATCACACATTATATTATATATAAAAAGTACATCATTTGATGGGATGCTTAACAGCCATGAAATATATCGGCAAATAACCAGTTTGTTTGTTTGGTTGCATTGAAATTATTTTCTTATTAAAGCGTATCAGTTGTTTCTTGTGTTTAAAAATAAATTTTTCTCATTACTTGTTTTGTGATTCAAACAAACACATAGATTGTGTGACAATGAATTATTTGGTAAGTTTTTTATATATAAAAATTGATAACATTTTTGTATTTTTAGGTTAGCATTAAAGATAAATAAATTTTGATTTTGATTTTGATCCAGGTACTCTTTTTAATAACTGTTTATCTAAGCCATTGTCAATCGACATGGAATTATGGCTATAATTATGGTCCAATTTCTTCGTATACTGTTTTCAAGCCATCCTATTCTGATAATATACCAAAGTATGTCATAATGAAGCCGTCATACAATGCCTTGAGAGCTGGACTCAGTATTTTAAGGCCTATTTATAGTAAACCTAAGTATACTCCCGACTATATTCACGTAAAAAAATCATATAGTGGTCTGAGACCGGGTTATGCAGGACTCAGACCATTGCTTTCCATCAATAAAAATGAGGCAAAACTTAAGCCAAATTTAGTTTTCAAACGATCGGCAGATTATTATGAAGAAGCAGTTCGTGATTATGTATTGGACGACAAAAAACTCGACCGAAAGCTTAAAATACATGTAAAGCCCAGCGTATGGAAAGAGTACCAAAAATATGGAAAAATTAGTGGTTATGACAAAAAACGAGTCCATTCTTTGATTGCATTTGTCAAACATTAATAATAATTATTATTTATTATTATTATATTATAATATAAAGTACAGTATATTTTTATACTGTATTTTATTCAACATTTATAAATTAAGTTTATTTACTATTATGGTATGTATAATAGTATATTTATTTATTTTTTAAATATTTTATTGTTTTATATTTTTATACATAGATAGTACAAATAATTTTATAATATAATTATAAATTAATATGCAATAAATATAAATATAAATAATATTTGAAAACCAATATTTTCATTTATACAACAGTGTATTATATAATATTTGTTTCTTTTTATTTGTGTAATATATTATATTATATATATATTACTAAATAATTATTTAGCTTGTACTGCATTAAATATGAATATTGACATTATTTTTAAATAAAATAAAGTCATTGAAATAAACAAATTATTTAAATTTTATACTAAATAATAAAATCAAATAAATCTAGACTAAAATGAGTATTTAATTACCGGCCCTTTTGCCACCCCATGTTCGGAAACTACCGCTTCTTTTTCCTCCCCAAATAACGAATGACTTGGCCGGTGGACTACCTTTCCTTTTTCCGGCCCAATTCTGAAATGTCTTTGACATACGTTTTTTATTATCTGCCGATTCATTATCGGCTTTCTTTATGGAGTAATTAGGCGTTATTTCCGCCCGTTTGCCGCCATTAGGATTGAAACCTTTAGGCAACCGCATCACATCCCATGGATAACGGGCTCGTTTTCCGCCCCACGGCTGATATGCCGATCTCTTATTAAGTGATGGATAAGTATTTTGTTCATCTGATTCAATCGACCGCTTTATACGTCTACCGTACCAATAGTCTGCAGTATATATCAAATATTTTTATTAATAACATATTTTCTAATTATCTATTGTTTCGATTCTCTTTATTGTAGAAAAATACTTTTAAAAAAAATAAAACTAGTTTTTGTTTTAAAACAAATTTAAAGATTATAAAATAGATTACAAATATATATTGTATATAATTAGTATAATAAAAGTATTTTTTGAACAATGATAAGCAATACAAAAATATATTGACCTCTAAAGTCGTCAATAGGAATGGCAAACACGTCGTCCTCTTCGTCTATATAAGAGTCGGCGGGTGTTGTCGTCAGACTTCCCTTTAATTGCAAAATATTTTCCGGTACTCTCCTATACTCTCTCTGGTCAACCATAACACCGGTCGTACCATACGCTGGACAACACATTATAATAATGTAAGCCATTACAAACCAAACGGTCATTAATATTGTGTTTGAATTTTTATTAGTGGATACAATCAACTTCATCATGTTTTTTAGAGATATAGTAATAAATTTTTAAATTATTAAAAAAGTATAAACAATAAAATTTACAAACTATTTATGAAATATCAGATAAGCTTTTTTGAAAAAACACTCATTTATAATATAGTTCTTTAGATATTAAAAGCACAGATATTTTTTTAAATGTCTTATTTATAAAATATTCTTAATATATGAATGTCTATAATATATAATTCACTATATATTCTGTACTTTGAATACAAGTTTATCTTCAAATAATTTACTTTTAACCGCAAAGATCATAAGCTTTTTATAATAACAACGATTTTTATACTATTGTATTGTATTTGTAAATGTTTTGTCTTACGGTCCGATTATATGTGAATTGTAGTGAAAAAATATTTTCAAGCACTTTTCGTAGGAATTATAAACATAGTAAGCAAACAGTTTGTAATATAGATAATACTAACAAATATAATGGTCTTATATCATATCTGACATGTTTTGACCAACCATTGGCCAGTTATCTTTTTTTATACCATCCCATTAATTTAAGTATACCTATAACTTATACATTATAGAGACAACGTAATGCCTACACAATAGATGTCATCTATAAAATTATAGATAATAAAAGGTCATTTTGAGGTTTATATATTAAATCCAAATAAATTTGATAAACTTTATTACTAAATTTATATATCATTTATTACTTTAGAGTTTGAATATATTAATATTAATCTATAAATAATAATTTATAATACATATTTTAATTATGATTTTATTGTAGACACTTGAAAACTATTGTTATAGTTATTATTATTAGTTATTTATTTATTTATTATTAAAAGATCAATTAATTTATATATTTTATTAAATAATAATGTGAGTTAATGTATAGTTAATAATTAACAAATAAGTAGTTAATTAAAATACAGTACAAATACAGTATAAATTATATTTATATAAAAGTCAATATTATTGATATACATCAATGTAGACATCAATTCAATGACATTTGTTTTACACTTATGTCATATCTATAGTCATATAATACTTTACATTGATTGCGGATCCCATAGGAATATCATTAGATATCATAAGATTATCTTTGTTTCAGATAATGGACTTTAATAAGACATATATTGTATTAATGCATAATATAAGACAACTTTATTTATATTAAAAAAAAAATTGTTTCTAATGTCTAATGCTTTCTGAATTCAATTTTCATCGACAAATATAACACAATTGACTAATGTATGATTTTGTCGTATTAGTTATACTACACATTCATATAATGTTAGTTTAATAGTACCCAAAAATAACAAAACTTATTTACTGTATTTTCTGATCTATTACTACAGTATAATACATATATACTCTAAATATAATTTGTCATAAAATTATTATATCAATAAAAATTTAAACTCAATTTTGTAATATTTTGTATCAGTTAATAAAAGTATTATTATTTATGTTTATTTTGGTTAATGTTCTTAATTTACAGTAAAAGACTGTTATTAACAAATGGTTACAAATAGTTGTTAATTGACTGCGAAAATGGAAGAAACAAATTATTAATGAGACAAATATAATGAAACATTTATTCATAACCAGTTGAGAATGCTAGAAAGCATTTCCATACGAACTCCTTATCCAAATTAAATATTTAATTATAATTTACTTGAAGTTTCAAATGACTCGGTTTGACTGAATAAACTCAAAATTAGTCGTATAGGGTATCAAATGATTCACAATTATAGAACAAATAACTTTAGTTATGTTTATTTGTTTAATATATTTAACATTAGTATTTAAAATAAAGATCCGACATTTTTAAACATATATCAAAATTTTTTAAAACATTTTCACTCCATTTTGCTGTTCAAACAATTTAAATTAATATAAAAAATAAAAATTAAGTTAAATTTAATTTCTTGTTCTTTTTATTTTTGGTTTATTGTTCTCCAAGTTCTTGAAGAGATAAAAAATTTAAATGCAGGTCCCTATAAATCATTTTTTATTTTTTACACAAATCTAAATTAAAAAATAAAATAAATTTGTTTTATTTTGGACACCAGTTTCTCTATGTTTATGAGAATATATCAAAATTTTAATACGGATCCACATAGCTTATTTTTAATGATTTATCAAAATCTGAAATCAAAATTTAAAAAATCGAAAAATTTTGTGGGACAGACAGACAGACAGACATATAGAATGCAAATATGCAAAAATGCCATTTCAGGAATTCGTGAAAAGTTTAGCTGTACATCAAAAAAATATATTTTTAATTGAAATTTATAAAAACCAAAAGTACTGTTATTAGATCTAATAAAAGTAATAGAAATTTAGTAAAATTTATGTTTTGGACTAATTTACAAATAATAATTATTATTATTGTTATAAAAATAATACCATTTCCTGTTAAATTATTTTAAATGTAGATTATAAATCAAAATTTATCTAAATATTTAAATAAAAATATTATCAATTAAGATATCTTTAATATTTAAAAGTATATTTTACATAATGCATAAAATTAAGATAACATCTTTAATTTAAAATCAAATACAAGTAGAAAATGACTTTTAGAAATATAATCTAGAATTTAAAAAATATATAATATTAATATTGATATTAATAATATAATTATTAATGAAAAATAGTATTTTGTAAAAAAAAATTAGAAAACATAATTAATTTATAAATATTGATAAAAATAATATTTTATCATTTAATTATAACTGAAATATATTAAACACAAAATAGGTTACCGTAACTAAAAACTTGATAATTTATCTAACGGTAGTTAAATGTAAAATAATAAATATAATTATAAAACATAGTAATGCCCTCTATTTTGCTGTTTATAAATAAGTAAACATTTTTGGGATTAAACAGATGTTAAGTTACGGATATAAATAATTTGATAAAATATTAACTTTACTAATACTGCATATAATTATGATATTAATAATTCATTTGTCAAATGGGGATTCATTTTCCAATTGGCAAACATTTAATAAATTATAAAATAACATCTATTTTTCAATCATTAATTCAATTGCCAACAATGCATAAACATACAGTATATCACCATTTCTATCAACTATGGTTACTGTAAATTATTTAATCAATAGTGAAAATCATTTTAAAATTATAAATAAAATTAAAGTTTACATAAAAATATATATTTCAGTTTACTATAACAAATTATAGTTAAATATAATTAAATTCAATGTTTATAAGTGTAAGAAATTCAATTTGAAATTTTTAATTTGTGTTTTACTATTACCGTAAATAAGTGTAATAAATTGTTTTTAGATGTATAACTATTGTCGATAATGTTTATAGAAATCGTTATTATTTTTCAAAAATAAATTATGTAAAACACTTATTGAATAAATAAAAAATTCAATAATATATTATTAATATAATATAATAAATGAAAACATTAGTTAATAATCGAAATAATAAGACATTTTTGTCATTTTTTGCCCAACGCTTTGTTAGTCATTGAATGTTTAGCCTTGACTTCGGCCTCTTTGACCTTAATTTCGGCCTCTCGTCGTTTGGCCGCATCTTCTCGTTGTTGTTTAATAATGGCGAGTCGGGCCAAATCGGCTCTTGCCTGGTCAGTCTTGCCCTCGGCGTGTAACCGCTGGTACGTCTCCCGTGCCCTCTGTTTCTCGATCTCTTCTCGTTCACGTCTAGACAGTTGTTCGCCTCCCGACGCGCTATCATTGTTAGGTCCGTTTCGAGAACTACTGGGGGTTTCTGTTGTATAAATAAACAATACGTTATTATTATTATTATTATTACTACTACTTCTTCGTTGACAATCAATTTCACTAATCAACTGATCGGTCATTTTGATTGATCCATCAATTGATAAAATGACAATTAAAAAAACAATAATAATGTTATCATATCTTCATAAGGTATGTATTTGTCATAAAAAACAAATAAATTAAACAATTAAACCAATTCATTGATGGATCAGTTAATGATATTATCAAAGAATGCATTCAGTTATCAGAAATTAAGTTAAGTTTCGACGAATACATACCGAGTGTAAGATTCTTCTGAGGTTTTCTTTGAATACGATTTGGATTCTCGATCTCAATAATACCCGAAACACCTTTAGGTCGGGAATCGTCGTCGTCTTCATCGTCCGAGTCTTCACTTCCTTCTTCTGACTCTTCACTGTCTAACTCTTCATTTTCTCTGCGTTTTCGTTGAGCCTCAATATCTTCAGGTGTTGTGAAGTGTCTTCTCTGTCCTTTATGTCCGCGACCTCTGCCTAAAAGTAATCAAAGAGTGGATCAGTTGTTCATCAAAAGTGAGTCAAATGTCAAACCTCTGGCCATTGTTTGCAATGAATGCAAGTCTTGTAAGTCTTGTATGTATTGAATGTATTGTTGTATTCAATGTAATGAATGTATTGTTTGTTTGCAAAGTGTGTTGTGTTTTGTTGTTCTAAACATTCGATCCAATGATCAATGCGTTCATCAATGCATTTGCTTTACATTTATGGCAACGCATGCGCTGTTCTGCCATCTATTGAATGGATTTCTAACTGAAAAATATTATGCATTTTTAGTACATTTGTATTACTAATACTTTAAATCATATATCTATACATTTCCTATAATTTTACTAAACTATAGTATAAATTGCAAATATATTTATAAATTTAAAAAATCAATTTTAAACATATTTAATAAATAATAAACATATATATATATATATATGTATATAAATTTAATTAATTAATTAATTCCCTTTCATTAGCGTCTTTACAAACGTGAATCTTGTTTGGCATACTATCAATGATGGTCTCCATGTAATTGTGGAGAACCTGATCCCAAATCCGTTGGATCTTTAGCTATGAGGTATTAGATCTGACATTACCTCAAATTTACAATTATATTTATAAACTAAAAAAATTTCTCTTTTGCTAACATTTATAATTATAATATTCTTTGTTATATATTTATAGCAAAATTTATTATTAATTTATATTCTTATAAATTGTTACTAATCTAGAATTATTTAGTTATTACATTATTAACTAATCAAAAATATTTGTACAATTATCTAGATTAGTATAGAATTAATATTAGATTTTTTTTTAAACTTAAAAAACATATATGAATAGTAAATTGATTAAAATACAGAGTAATTTTTGTTATTAATAAAAAAAAGTATTGATAATCAGCCGATTAGATCCAATGGTAGTACATCACTAGCAATTTTTTCAGCCAACTGACCCTGTCCATTTTCACACAAATCACCTAATGGTGAAATCATTGCTGAGTCTAACAATCGGATAACTTGTTTGGTGGTTATGAAGACTGACTCTAATGTTTTTACTGATTGTCCCACAAATGTTAGATCTTCATAAAACCCATCACATCTACAATCCTTATAAAGTGTTGTATTTTTTTTAGTTAACTTTTTGATAAGTTTTCGTTTTTTAGGCCTCTTTTTCTGTTGTTTCTTCAAATATTTGATCAATGATTCAATGGCACCATTAAGTGCTGAAAGTGGTGTCCGTATGTAACAAATGCTTTGAATACCTTTAATACTTTTAATACCATTTAATCGTTTACCCAAACGATTCGGAATATTCAATACTTCCAATGAATCGAAGAGACCGACAGTCGACTCTTCGTCACTGTTTTCGTCTTCTTTTTCAGTTTCTTCAGTCGTTGTGTTGGGTTTGTTGTCGTCTTTGGAATCGTTGGTGTCTTCGATATCTGAGATCCAGTTCTTACAATCGAGTTTTCTTTCCATTGATATTTTCAGATAAATATCTTCATAATTATCTTCATCAATGGCACCAGATTTCAGTAAACGCTTAATATTTGACGGATTTAATCCCCAGTTAAGGTTTGGATCTACTTTTGGAAATTTAGCTTTTTTACTACAATTAAGTAAAATATTTGGATTCAGGTCTTGAAACTCTTGATAGTTAAGCAAAAACAGTTGATTCAAATTTGGCTTATCCTTAGTTCCGACTTTTATTGATTTTTCCTTTCTATCGGTAGAAGTAGTTTCAGTAGGTTTTGTAGTTTCTGTAGTCTCTATAGATTCTGTAGTTTCTGTAGATTCTGCTGTTTCTGTAGTTTCTGTAGGTTTTAATAGTTTTGTAGTTTCAGTCTTTTCAGATGTTTGAAACCAATTTGAAACCATTGTTGTTGTTGTTATTGGTGTTAATTTCAAAGCCTTAAATACAATTACAACATATGATTACAATTATATAATGTAATATAATAGTAATCAGTAATATAATGACTTATATTTGTAATTTTATTTACCTTTATATTTTCCGTATTTGTTTCATCTTGATTATAAACACATGCAACACTTAAAAATATATTTATTAATGTAATTAATAAAACACTATTAGCTGTTAAATACATAATAAATAATTTTTCAAAAAATCAAAAATGTTACTATTAGTTATAATATCAACATAAAATAATAACAATAAATTTAATTAAAAACTAATAATTTTGATTTCACGTTTATTTTAATTAAAATTTGAAGTAGTCATTTGTAATTAAAAGTATTTAACTGTAACTCAAAACATATGATATAGAAATTGATTTTTTTAATTTATTGAAATATTAAAGAATTATTAGTTTTTTTATTCATTCATTGAATTTTTTTAATACAACCCATAATAATTAAATAACGTTTAAAGTAATAATTTTATTTATATTTTTTGTTTTACAATATTTATGTAAATTATATTATTATATTTTATAATTCTTATTTCTGTTGAATAATTAGTTATATTTAAACTATTTAAAAAATTTACAATAAAAACTCAATTAAGTAGATAATCTTATTTATTTAAAAATACAAATTAAGTAAATTATGTAATAAAATTTACTATATTTTAATAAACAGATCTAATAATAAACAAAGTAAAATATTTCTAACATACAATATATATATACCGTATATACAATTTATCTCAAATGTGATGATTAAATTTTATTTATTATAATCAACATTAACTAACATACACTAATTTGTTGATATAATTTACATACAATTTACACAATACATGTTTTGTATATACATTTGAGGTTATATGATAAAATTATATACAAACTAATCAAGATAATTTTTGTGTATTTTAGGACACTCTCTATTGCATTGAGGCCATTGACAGTCATCTACGAGCCAGTGATGACACTGATCTCTATGTGCTTGAATACGGTGCTGATGATGATGACTTTGATGGTTATTATTATTATTATGCTGTCTATGCTGATGAATGGCTCCAACAATACCAGTGCTCTTATTATTATTGGTATTATTATTATTATTAGAGATATTGTCATTAAGTAAAATTTGATCCCTTTTTGTCTTATGTCTTCTGCGGTTATGTTTTCGGCGTTTCTTTTTTTGCTTTGACTCTGGTTTTCGGTAATAATTATGTGGCCAATCGTTCATAAGCACCGTATCATTTGACATACCAGTACTACTATAATAATCAACACTATGTCTATTGATGACTGTCTTATGCGTGTAGTCATTGGTTGTGTGACTACATGACTGTTCCCAACATCGAATGGCATCCGTGAGTTTGACACCGTTGATGGAAATGGATCTCCAGTCAGGTTTAGTGAGAACACAATGCGAGACACAACTGGGCGCAAATACGGCCGACACGTTCTCAAGTGTTGACCGTAACTGTCGGCCCAAACTATGTATATATTTGAACTGTTGTTGTGAGTGACTTAAAGACAGGCCGTCAATATGCATCTGTGCCTCGTCGTAGAGCCACTGAAAGATAAATAACGGTGTCTTCAAAGTAGGATAAAGACGGTAACCAAATATACAACGCCACGGCTCTAAAGGATAGTGTATAGCACAAGCACTGGGAACTCGAGATGACCACATCCTAATAATTCAAGTGTTCCCATATTAGTATCATTTTTCCAACAAATTTCATATTTCAATAAAATTTTAATTAAAAATCAAGTTTTTGTTTAATATAAATTAATACTAAACTTAAGTAAATATGAAGTTATATTAGGGTTGGGTATGAATTGCGCTTTGAATCGTATGGGTATACCATATGATATAATATTGAATGAAATAATTTACTAATGAATTTAAAGAATGTGTCAATAATTTTAAATTAGTTAATAATTATCTAAATTCATAACATACTAACAATCTTTACATACACTATATATGGTATATATATAAATTGCAGACTTAAATAACACTAATTAAAATCATATCACTAATTCATAAAAAATGTTTTATTTAGATATAATATTTTTATAATTTTTTAGAAATTTGACTATTGATTTGATTGATATGATTAGTAGTATCAATTTAAATTTAATAATTATTTCATTAATTTTCTATTAGACAAAAAATTCTATTTCATAGTTTTATCTATAAATATTTTAATAGATCAGTACATTATTTTATAATAAAAATTTAATTATTTAAAAAAAAAATACATTAATACTTAAACTTTATCTGTGATTACATAAAATTATTATCAATTTTATTGTAATTTATTTCATACATAAATACAAATTATCCGGGAATACCATATATGCTGGGAATACCGGGCAGGAACTGGTAGAAGAAACCGGGATGTGATAATATTTCACAACAGTGATCCCTCTATTAAATTGTAATCCTTTTTATATATTTGATCAGTAAACTTAGCTAATCTTATAAATAATACATTTTAAAAACAGCAATAGGTATGTAAACTAATAAAAGTGTATTATATTATACAGTAAATTTATACTAATATTTATCTAATTATAAAAACATAAATGGATATAATATATTAATCAACTTAATTGCATATAAAATTAAATATCACGTTTTTTATAGTTATCGATAGACAATACAGAGATTATTAAAAGGGTACGACAATGAATGTCTGTAAGGTTTAACAGGACAGGACAGGACAGGACAGGACAGGACAGGACAAAAACAAAATGATTAACCATCAAAAAGTTGTCAAAAAGAATAGTAAAAGTATACAGGTAATTAACTTATATAAAATAAAATTGATTAAAAATAAATTAAAACTACTATATATATAATTTACATTAATAAGTTTATATAAAATTTAAACACTAACTTAAATGCAGTTTTGATGCCATCCATAGGCGCACAGTTGATAGCATCGATACACGGCTTCTTATTGTGATTATTGTTATGTAGATTATTATTGAACGGTTCGTTATCTAATATCCAACCCGAGTCTGCGATACCGCGTACCTGAGCTTTAGATCCCTCGTTGGTTAACAAATGTGTGACTCTGTCTAAATTGATCATAACACCGGCAGCACCGGCAGATGAACCGGCTAAAAGCAGTAATGATGCATCAGATAATCCCCGAGGTAGCAGTTCTCGTATGACTTGCTCGACAATACGTGAGCCCAAAAAAGACAGATCGCCCGGTGCTTTGGCGGGACTATCACCCGACCAAATATCCGATGAACAGTAAGGTATATAAACGTGACTTGCATTCCAATAGTGAGGGTTCTCATCACGTGATGAAGATAATATGCCTCCAACTATATATAATAATATATTATAATATTTATTAATTATATAGATTATTAAATTTATAAATAGATTACATCTATAAAAAATATAATATATAATAGAAATATATAGTAAAATGTTAAAAAATAATATATTAATGTATAAAACTATAATACTGTAGTATAAACATAATTATCTTTAAATGTTACATAAATAATTTTATGATTTTGACTATTAATTCAAATTTTTAAAATAAAAAACAAATTGTATTTTTGATTATATAAAATAAAATAACAAACTCATAAACAATATTGATTATATCAAATCATAGTTTTTTTTAAAAAAAAATAATATCAATTTACGAAAAATGTAATTTTAAATAATTTGTTCGTTATATAAAATATTTGATACAAAAATTGTAATTTATTTGTACTAATACAGTAAACTCTAACTAAACAGGTCTCAATATAAAGTATAGCATCAATTGAAAAGTTCAGTTAACTAGTGTATTGTAGCCTACAATTTGTAGGAAGTTTTTTAAAAATAGCATTAAAAACAAAATTAATGTTTATGGTTGCCAGATTATTTTTAAAAATTACATTAAGTAGATATTTTATTTTTATACTTTTATCCTCATTTCAAAAGAGCGCTCACATAATATTATGAAAATATCGTCTTATTATTAGTAAAAATAATTCATAAATCAAAGATAATTTATAAAAAAGATTAACATAAATAACAGATCAATAAAAGTATAATAAATTGTTTTATATTATATTATATCTTTAGAGAACTATTTATTTTCCTCAAAATCTATTTATAAACATTAAACTAGATTTTAGTTCACTTATTTAACGTTAATTTTGAAAAAAGTATAGAAATTCTCTAAATATATATAATATATATAATAAATTTATTTATTTTACAATTTATTATAGAAACACTAGAAATAATTAATAATTTTATAATATATCTGTCATCATATGTTGTTATATTATTTACGGATTAGTGGGTGAGTTAGTGAATGAATCATTGAAAGTGATTTATACTGTACTTTGAAAAAAGTGAGTGAATCAGTAAATATAAAGAGTTTTACAAGAAGTTGTTGTAATATTTCATAATTTTTATAGACATCAATAATAATCACTTGTCTTTTGAAACATATTATATATTTTTATATATTTATATATAATATATATACTAAGGTATATAATGTATATTTTTGTTTATAAAATTAAAAAATATATTTTTAAACAGAGAAAGAGATTGTATTAAAGCAAAAATATATAATTACTTTCAATTGTGTTTCATATTTGCAAAATGTTTGATACAAAAGAAAACAAATATTGAAGAGATATTATTAGCAGTAATACATTAACAGCTTAATAATTGAATGAGTTTTCTTATAAGTATATATGGTTTAGCGCACAGGTAGTTAAAAGATTTAGTGAATGTGGGGAAAGGCATGACAAATGATTAAACATAGTGTGTGTGTGTATACAGTATATACAGTATACTATATATTATAGTATATACATAAAGTTTTCACAAAGCATAGCCATACCTGATTTAGCCTCTGGCCAGTGAGCGGAGGTCATTAAGCCACGCATTTTGAGCCATCGCTGGTGACACGTGACGGCACTAAAGCAATACCAACCGCCCTCTAGAAAGACAATCCATCGCCGGGAGGCATAATTTTGTCTAATATAATAACCGGCTACCGTTCCATCATTGCATGTGACGCTACTATTGCTTAACATAACTCTCGTTAAATAGTAGGGACGGTAATACTGGCCGTCACTTTGATAGGCAGTATTACTGGTGACAGCACTTGCGTGCAATTGACTGTCACTATATCTTTGCGTGAGATGTTTGTGATGGTTATGATTGCGATGGTTTTGATTGTCATGATTATGATGTTCGGTATATTCCCTGTGCTTTGGTTTTGCCACTGGTATTGCAGGTGATGGCGGCGGTGGCCATCTGTTTGATGGATTATTGGCGACCAATGAAGCCATAAGTCTCCTATTTTGCATCGATTGACTGATGTGTGACGGATCTGCTAATGATGATGACTGGGCTGATAATTGTCGCTTCATTTGAACATAACTGCTGCTACTATCGGGTGCCACAAATTTTTCATCCAAGTTTACTGCATCATTGGCTGCACCATCAATAGCTTCATTAGCATGTTTTAACTGTTCCGGGTGGTCATTATCAATTATGAGCGCATCGGTAGTTGATATCTCGGATGTGTTATTGTTTATATTCTGTGATTCTGAGGTATATTTGCCACAAGTGGTCGATATGACGACACCCATGACTAACAGCAAAATTAATGGTAAGACATCCATCATTGTACTCGTGGTTTCAGTGCTCTCACTATAACTGTCCGCTGTTAATGATGTACTACTTCTGGCACTGGTATCAATAATGTTGGTACCGATGGTCAGCGTTTCGCCGTCACAACAGTGATGATCTGTTTTGATCGCTATTGTGCTCTACTTTTAGGCGCCGATTGGCACTGATTTAAGAGATGTCGTTCCCGTTTCATAAAATCCTCATATTTTGATAAAACAAAACTTAGGATATATTTTATATTTTTAATGACTTTAATAAAACATAGCTTAATATGCAATATTTGTTGAACATATTCATATAAATTTGGTTATATATGTCAAGCATTTTGTAGTAATTTATAATTATTAAAAAATGCAAAAAATATAACATTTAGATGTATTTCAATATTACTATAAATTTTTGCAAAATCACAATTAGACAATTTAAAGATTTACTTATTATTGCCAATAAGAGGCAATAAAATTGTTGCAGTAATAAACTTAAACACATTAATAAACTAGACAATGACCAAGTTTATTAATAGCACACTTATATAGGCAAACATATGTGTGAATATATAAATTCATAAATAATTTTTAATATATTATTGAAGATCAGCTCCGATAGCGAGTGAAACTCGAGTTTATAATTCAACACTACATACAGTTTTGTGGCAAACAGTCAACTGAATGATCGGTTCCCGAGAACCTACACATACATACACACACTCCACACACTCTAACACACACTCAAATACATACACACAGTAAGTATATTGTGATTATTGGATATGTTATATATGTTGTAATCTGTATGTGTCGGCACACATCAAAAGGCAATGGCGGTATACACCTATCCCTTTGATGTGTGCCGATCTATGGCACACTTGAGCGCAACAGCGTCGACACCGGGAGAGTGCTTTGAAGTGTGCCGACAAGTGTATCGATGCTATCAACTGTGCGCCTATGGATGGCATCAAAACTGCATTTAAGTTAGTGTTTAAATTTTATATAAACTTATTAATGTAAATTATATATATAGTAGTTTTAATTTATTTTTAATCAATTTTATTTTATATAAGTTAATTACCTGTATACTTTTACTATTCTTTTTGACAACTTTTTGATGGTTAATCATTTTGTTTTTGTCCTGTCCTGTCCTGTCCTGTCCTGTCCTGTCCTGTCCTGTCCTGTCCTGTCCTGTCCTGTCCTGTCCTGTCCTGTCCTGTCCTGTCCTGTCCTGTCCTGTCCTGTCCTGTCCTGTCCTGTCCTGTCCTGTCCTGTCCTGTCCTGTCCTGTCCTGTCCTGTCCTGTCCTGTCCTGTCCTGTCCTGTCCTGTCCTGTCCTGTCCTGTCCTGTCCTGTCCTGTCCTGTTAAACCATACAGACATTCATTGTCGTACTCTGCCTATTGATGGCCTGTCTTTAAGTCACTCACAACAACAGTTCAAATATATACATAGTTTGGGCCGACAGTTACGGTCAACACTTGAGAACGTGTCGGCCGTATTTGCGCCCAGTTGTGTCTCGCATTGTGTTCTCACTAAACCTGACTGGAGATCCATTTCCATCAACGGTGTCAAACTCACGGATGCCATTCGATGTTGGGAACAGTCATGTAGTCACACAACCAATGACTACACGCATAAGACAGTCATCAATAGACATAGTGTTGATTATTATAGTAGTACTGGTATGTCAAATGATACGGTGCTTATGAACGATTGGCCACATAATTATTACCGAAAACCAGAGTCAAAGCAAAAAAAGAAACGCCGAAAACATAACCGCAGAAGACATAAGACAAAAAGGGATCAAATTTTACTTAATGACAATATCTCTAATAATAATAATAATACCAATAATAATAAGAGCACTGGTATTGTTGGAGCCATTCATCAGCATAGACAGCATAATAATAATAATAACCATCAAAGTCATCATCATCAGCACCGTATTCAAGCACATAGAGATCAGTGTCATCACTGGCTCGTAGATGACTGTCAATGGCCTCAATGCAATAGAGAGTGTCCTAAAATACACAAAAATTATCTTGATTAGTTTGTATATAATTTTATCATATAACCTCAAATGTATATACAAAACATGTATTGTGTAAATTGTATGTAAATTATATCAACAAATTAGTGTATGTTAGTTAATGTTGATTATAATAAATAAAATTTAATCATCACATTTGAGATAAATTGTATATACGGTATATATATATTGTATGTTAGAAATATTTTACTTTGTTTATTATTAGATCTGTTTATTAAAATATAGTAAATTTTATTACATAATTTACTTAATTTGTATTTTTAAATAAATAAGATTATCTACTTAATTGAGTTTTTATTGTAAATTTTTTAAATAGTTTAAATATAACTAATTATTCAACAGAAATAAGAATTATAAAATATAATAATATAATTTACATAAATATTGTAAAACAAAAAATATAAATAAAATTATTACTTTAAACGTTATTTAATTATTATGGGTTGTATTAAAAAAAATTCAATGAATGAATAAAAAAACTAATAATTCTTTAATATTTCAATAAATTAAAAAAATCAATTTCTATATCATATGTTTTGAGTTACAGTTAAATACTTTTAATTACAAATGACTACTTCAAATTTTAATTAAAATAAACGTGAAATCAAAATTATTAGTTTTTAATTAAATTTATTGTTATTATTTTATGTTGATATTATAACTAATAGTAACATTTTTGATTTTTTGAAAAATTATTTATTATGTATTTAACAGCTAATAGTGTTTTATTAATTACATTAATAAATATATTTTTAAGTGTTGCATGTGTTTATAATCAAGATGAAACAAATACGGAAAATATAAAGGTAAATAAAATTACAAATATAAGTCATTATATTACTGATTACTATTATATTACATTATATAATTGTAATCATATGTTGTAATTGTATTTAAGGCTTTGAAATTAACACCAATAACAACAACAACAATGGTTTCAAATTGGTTTCAAACATCTGAAAAGACTGAAACTACAAAACTGTTGTTTTTAATTTTGCATAAAAAATAAAATCATATTTCAATGTTAGGTTGAAATACTATATATTATACTATATAACAATAAAGTTGGAAACAAATAAAAAAAGCTTTAATCAGTTATATAATATTTTGTTATAGAAACAAAATGTATATGTAATTTAATATTGATTATTTTTAAAAATAATAGTAACATTATAAAAGTAGATATTATAATAATATATTCAGTAAAATAAAAGTATTGTTATACTATTAATATTATGGATTATTTGATACAACTTTTAAAGTAATTTAATAGTAAATTACAGTAACTTTTCTATAAATCAAATTTAATGTCTTAAATAAGCATTAGTTTTAAACATCTATTTACTTGAATTGTTATTATTATTGTTTTTTCGTATTTTGAATTTTTAGTATTTTCACTGTTTTAAAATATTATATAAATTTACGAAAGTTTTCTACATTTTCGATACTATGATAGTATTGAAAAAATTAAAAAATTTTGTTTATAGTGGTTATATAAATTTTTATTTAAAATAATTTTTTTGTAGAAAATTAATAAACTTATTTTTTTGTAATCAAAAATATTTAGCACAATTTATGTGGATATTTATTGCTTATAATATTAAAGATAAATATTATATTTTTAATTTTTGTTTAGTCAGATAGAAATTAAAATTTTGAAATTTAAAAATATTTTTGGCTATTTTAGTTTAATACAGTTTATGGCATATCAGCAACCGGTTCACTAATGATATGTTGCAATCTATTTTTAGACACCATCCTATTACTAGCGTATCGGTGCTGTCGGTGAGGATGTCTTAATGGCAACAAATCAATAATATACTGATTTACAGTAATCTTATCGATTCTATCTAACAATTTGTTTGCCAAACCCAACTCATCAATATTGGGCATAGACTGGAAATCTGCTTGATTTTGATCATTTTGTAATTGCATTTTATCCAATAGGTTGTCATCATTGTGTTGATCTAACGGATCATTTTGTTGTTGAATGTGTTGTTGGACATCACTGTCATGTGGTCTTAATTGTTGCAACTGAGGTGTATTGAGTTCACGACTAAGTACAGTGTCGTCTGAAAAACGATTACCTCTTCGGTATAACATTTCATTTCTGATGGTTTGTCGGCCATTGGATTGCAATCCAAGACTACAGTCATTGTCGACATACGGATAGTTCGAACAGTTTTTACGACTTCTTCTCTCGATTTCTGAAGACAAGTGATTCAAAAAATCAATTCTTTCCTTTTGATTGCAATGTTTCTGAAAATTATTTCAATAATATATGATTAAAATATTAAGTTTTTAAATTCATTTTTTAAAATATTTAAATAAATTGTAATTAATTATTTATACTGTATAATAGTTGAAAAAGTAATTTTATTAAATTAAGAATATACTGTATAATAAATGTAATATATTTTTATAAGGAAATCATGACATTTATGATAAGTAAATAATGTATAATAAAAGTATTGTTTGATTTGTATAGAAAAATATTTACTCATTACTTAGGTATTAGCTATCAATGAAATCACAAGATTTTATATTAATTAAAATTTCATGGAAACTAACAATAAGTCTTAAGACTTGACAATAGTATTACATGAAGATTGCGACATAATTTCAGTCAATAAAACAATTGAAACATACCTTTGCCTGTTCTGTAAAACAACCGGACATTTGCCAAAAAGCGCAACAAACGGACCTCGAGTTTAATAATGTTCGCATTTGTTGGGCACTGACTTTCCAGTGACCCATAGTTGCGACGGCACACGACATGGATGGGCCCAAAATTTTATTAAAACATTGTTTGGCCTCATTTGTGATGAACTGATTGTCGTCGTCATAATCATCTAATTTGTCAAATATATCGCCGTTTTGATCACTCTGGTCATCATTGTCTTGACCTACTGTATACTCATCGCTTTGACTACCAAACCCATTGTGACCTTTTAACTTTAGGCTATTTGCAAAACCAGTGCCCACAAGCAAAATGGCACCAATTAATATAAGTATATAAAGTTTGTTCATTATTATAGTACACCTTTATGTGTGGTAATACCGTTTGTCTTAAAAACTACTATTGTTAAGGGAGATACACTACTTAATCATTATATTTTTATATATGACTTTTATCTAACAATTCAAAGATAAAATTAGCAATTCAACGTAGTTATTTGTACATGTACATTTTTATACATTGTTGTTAAGTATTTTTACAAATTACTTAATTAAAGGCACAAATGTAATGAACCATAAATACAAAACTAAAATCAATATTAAATACCTTTTTTATAATAATAAAGATATTATAAATAACACAATTATTAGTGCCTATAAATACTGTCATTTAACCAATTATATGATTTGTTAGTTCTTAATACATGCTATAAATAATTTATTAATAATTATAATTATTTTAAGCAATTTAATTACTAAATTAAAATCAATATTTGTCTAATTAATTTTTTCATGATTATTCATGACTAAATTGTAATTAATAGTTAACTTGATATTTTTTATCATAAAACTTATAATATTTATATCTAGTAGTTATCAATGTTAGTGATCTATATTGTAAAAGATTAATATATTATATAAAACTATTCAAAATATTTAATTTGTAAAAACATAAATAATATTGAATTAAATTTTATAATTTTTTATTAGTAATAAAAATTTCTGAGTAGTGTTTAGCAAAGACAATGACATGTAGTGTTTAAATAAATCAATAAATAATATTTCAATTAATTATTATTAAACACAACAAATAAACCAAATGTAATTAATTATATAACATTAAATAAAATAATGTGTATTTAAAATAATTAATACTATTTAATGTATTAAACTAATTATTAATTTATAAATACAGTAAACTAAAATTGTTAATAATATTTATTGAATCTACTGTATATTTTTTAATTTAATAATCAATATATTCCATAATTTCATAATATTTCAATAAATTTTCATAATACTAACAAATATTATTGTGTATAGTAATTATAAATAATTTTGAAATATTTATTAAATTAACACTTGTTTAAAAACTATGCAAAAGTATAATAAATTTAAATAACTTTACTAATAATTGTCATTATAATGATTAATGTTATATTGATGTAAGTCCACTGTGCAGTACAATGATTGCATTGTTGAATACGTGGACTATATTGATAACTATAGCAAAACTTTTGATTATCATTTTCTTTTCCCTCTATTAACAAATTTTGAAATCTTTGAGCCGAGTATTGGTCACAATAAGTCTAAATGAAAACAAAATTATATCGTATTTGTATTAAATTGTATCGTAAAATAAAATAATATAATTATTATATAAATACCAGATAATCGTTAGCACAGTCATAGAATAGCCAACCGATACAACAGACAAACTGAGTGTCTCTGCAATAGCGGTCGCCCTTTACTTTAGGTTCTAAACAATCTCTAATCTGAGACTGAATTTGTTGGAAACACTGTTCATGTGTTATACGGTTTCTCCAATCTATTGTTCGTCCGCTAAATATTTGATGAACTGATAGCTCAGACACCTCTCGATTGTTAGCCACAGTCGCGTCAATCACGCCATACATTACATTAATTAACATCAAATGGATTAACATTAATCTTAATATAGAAAACATTATGTTAAGTATAGTAATATAAAAGTATTCAACAATTGAACAAAATGTTTCATATGATTTCAAAATTAATATTTTTAGTAAACGGTGTTAACATTATATTAAATAATTTGTTAATTGCTTATACAAAAAAATGAGTTATTTTTGATAATTACTACGACAATTACAATAATTTTTTGAGAATATTTTGCAATTATTTAGTGATTCATTACGGAAATTACTATTTGTTTTCATTTGAATTTTTATTATAACATTTTTTTTGTTATTAACAATGTTTATAATTTGATGTTTACAATTTTTTAGCTATATTATAAACTCAATTGTTGATTATAGTTTTTTTTTAATATTTTCATGGTTTCATAAAATTGTGATGTTTAATAATTATAATGTTTTACAAAACACTATTATTAATAAATTGTTATTTAAAGGTTTAATCGAAATAATAATTAATAAATCATAAAAAGTTATCAACTTATTTATTTATTATATTTTACTCAGATTAAAATTATATAAATTATAAAACAATGTTTTAATACCATCTGACTTAAATAAATATTAAATTATGACAATCATTTATTAAGTGTGGAAAAGATTATTTAATAATAATAATATTAAAAAATTTTTAATATAAAAAATATTTATTATAAAAATTTATTTTAATAAAATTTATGTTAATTAAGAATTACATTAACTTAAATATTTTATTGTCAAGCGAAACAAACTAGCGATATATTTCATAAAACAAAATATGGCTCAAAATAAATGATTAAATTGCAAATTTTTATTAATAATTAGTTGTAATACATTACACAAAAATCAATTATTTAATTGTATTCATTTTCTTTGAATATTATTTAAACATTTTTAAACAATTTTAAACAATTTTGAATATAATTTGTTATATTGTATTGTATTCTTTGAATGCATACATCGTTGCCGAGTATATCATCTGTCTTACGATTGCCGACGTTATGATTATTCAATATATTATTGATGTTTCCATTATTAATGACCGATAAACTAGTCATACATATAATAAACGAAATAAAATAAACTAAATGAAAATAATTCAGATTTTTTTGTTAGAAATTTTATTTATATTTATTCATTTAAATGAAACATAGCATTTATAGTCATATTATTTATCATTAAAATAATATTTTAATGATAAAAAATAATCTAAAACTAATTAGTTATCAATTTAATGATAATTTTTTTTTAAAAATTTAAAACACAATTGAACTTTGATTATTGCAATTATTTAATATTTTATTTGATTAAAATTTAATTTATTTTTATAATTTTCAATTTAATTCCATTAAAAATTTGTAATGTTTAAAAGTTGCTATTTTAATTTAAAATATAAATTGAATATAAATTGAATATAAATTATATATTACATGTACCGGTATGTTTATTTGCCGCATTTGCACTGTTTTATAACTTAAGTCAATATGAACACATCTGTAGCATACCTGTCCTTTTCGTTAGCAATCGTTATCACTTATATCATTAGATTTTGATGACAAAAAATGTAAGCAAACATTCAATTCAATCATATCCATTGTGTAGGCGCAACCTACCAGCCCGCCCAGGGCTATAACCAGAGATACTTTAGTATTTTTGTAACGATACTTATTTTATTTTATATTTTATCTAACAAACAATATTTATAATTTTTATTTATAAAATTACATATCATCAAAATAGCAATTAATTAATTAATTTATTAAATAAATTTTTATTTAAAACTATTACAAAAAATAGAAAATTATGAATTATTTAAAACCGTTTAATTATATAACTTAAATCTAATAATAATGTATTAAATCTATAAATTATCTGAATTTTTATTTGCAAATACTTTAATTTCAATGTTTTCTCGCACAATGTGTTCGTGATCTCTGACTGACTCCCCATTACCCGTCCTCTCGTAAACAGTATTACCGACATTACTATCGTTGACATATTGACCGCAAATGATTTTTATTAAATGATAAATTGGACATTCAATGAGTATATAAAATATATATGCTATTAACACAGCAATAGCATAATCGATAATTACGCTTTCAAACTGTTATAAAAATTTATAAAATAAAACATTAGTTTAAGATAAATTATTTTGTTATTATTTTTAAAAATACTCTCAAAATTTCAGTACAAAATAATTATGCAGTAAATTCTATAATATCATACAGTTATTATAATTTAATAAAATTAAGTATACATACGATTTGTGAATGCGTTAGAAAATATGTTTGTTTAATAGCAAACAATCTGATGCTAATAACATTAATGTGATTGAGATAAATGCCAAAAGCAAGTCTTGACAGTGGCTGTATTGTCTCATTAGTTAATATACGCTGAATAATACCTAAATTATGAAAATGTAATTAATAATTATCATATAATTGTATTAAAAAAAACTAGAAGTTAATAATTAAAATACCTCCTCTATTAGTACTACAAGCAAAAACAATCCAACCGTACCCCAGGGCCCACATTACTCTTCCCGATAGAAACCACAACAAAAAATTGGTTTCATTATGAATGCCTTTGAGTGCTTTAAAAGTGTCGCTCCAATAGCTTGCAATTTGCGGCAGTGCCAGAAAGGCACACCACATAAATAGTAATCCATGTTTACTGTTAACTTTGATAATATCAGGTCTGTTACGTATGAGATATCCGACAAGTAGTCCAATAATAAGAGTCGACAAGTTTTGCTCGGCTGAACCCAAATAATATATAAATGAATGACTTATTTGTTCAATTGAATGCATTTTTGTCACTTCAAACGGTGCGATCGGGAAATCAGTAAATAGACGACGGGTTAGACTAAAGAAACAACCAAAACATACCAACAGTGCTAATATACTGTAACCAATATAATGCTTTAATTTGACTAATAATAATATTAATGGTGCCAATAGACTCAATTGAAAAATTGCTGAAAATGTTGCACTGGGCAAATTGCACTGTTATTTACAAAAATTAAATATTAATTATAATATTAACAATTTTTGCAATTTAATAAAACTAAAATAACAAAAACTTACAATTTGGTCAAAACCAGGCATATAGTTGCTATATAATAGTAGTGATGACATTAAATTATTTTTGCAAGGTGCTACATGAACTGGTTCATAATAATGCCAAATGGGTCCATCACCAATTAGTGGGATCAGATATATCAATAGTATTGGTCCAATTATACGCCGAAATATACTCAAATATCTGTTTACTATATATTTGAGATAATATAATGGACTGTATTTGGCTTTACGTTTATCAGCTGTTATATTATAACCTAACACTATAGCACTTTAATAAAAAATAATAATTGTTATTAATTTGATTAATAAACTTATTATATATATATATATACCTCAAGAGTATGTAAAGTGTCATAGAGTAGGAACTGTTGCGAATCCAGAAAAACTTTTTGGACGTAAAGTATTCTCTGGCAATACTTTTGTTTGGTCTCAATAGACCAATCATACTGTAAAAGATAGGCTGAACGTAGGATCGACCGACAAATTCAAGGCTCACAAACAACCAGATAATAGTGCCGATTGTGTTCAGACGTTTCGGGTCTTTACGAAACAATAGATTAGTATTGGAAATGGCAGAGAATATTAACAGTGATTTGTTTATCACTTTTTTACGACCAAAACTAGTCCGACGATAATTATAATAAAACTCAACGGCTGTACTCATTATAACCAATAGAGTCAATGTTATTAGTATTGATCTTAATATAATTGAAAATCAAAAAGTTTTTCATAAATTTATCTCAAATTAAATAAAATATTAATTACTGTGCCGTCCGTTGATAGGCATTCCGCTTAATCTCTCGGTTCTTGATTTTGCACTCCTTTTCAATTTCAAAAATTTGTTGTCCCTTTGGAGTCATTACTATATATTTTATTTTAAATATAAAAAAATATGATTTTAATATAAAATATACCATAAAATTAACTAACTTATAAAATATTTATACAATAGAGTGCTAATTCTAAATAATACAATTCCTGTACATAATATACAATATAATAATATAATAATAACAAATATTATTTATAAAATGTTAAATGAAAAATAAATTGAAAAATAATAATTAAATGAATTATAATTACGTTTATTAATGACTCGATTAATCTCTTTTGGACTACAAGTTGAAGGAATACAAAGACCGAAACGAAAGTAAGCTTTTTTAAAATAGTTGACGGATTTCATCAGTTTTAACATATTGTTATCCAAACCAAATGGATTTAATTTTGTCGACGAAATGTTTGCCTTTATATTATGTTCCTGTGATTCAAATACCGGTTCCATAAAACGGGCCGATCTTTTGGCCAAACAATACTGTCCTCTCATTTTGAGACCGAGAAACTGATCGTTTTCAATGTCCAGACATTCATCATAGAGACCAAAACTAGAGAACGTACCCTCCAATAGACCCAGAGGTCGGATGCTAAGGGAGTCAATGACTGAAATAATAATATAAATATAAAATATTGTTAAAAATTTATTGAATTGTTATAAAAATGACAAACATTTGAGTGGCCAGAGTTGACCTGAACTCAGATCCCTTTTCATCATAACAAATGACATCAAACATAGCGGCGATAAATCAAGATTTTCAATGAATGTCATCGCTGTCTGTCGTATCTGTTGTGCCGAATCACCAGACAATCCTTCTTTAGCTTCTGATAGCAAATCTTTTAAATTTAATTTAATATTTTCACTAAAATTAGCTAATTTTGGCTCCAATTTGACTAATAGTGCCGACACTAATGGATGATTCAAAATCCTACTAAAAACTTCAATTTTTGTGTCGTTTTTATCATTTAATAGATTTAAATTTGGAGCATATCTTGATATAGATTTTACATAACTTTTATTACTATGCATTTGTTGTGATCGACCAGTATTTTCCGATATATTAATTAAATCATTGACCACATTGTCATTACTTTGTTGTCCAAACCCAGCATTTTCTTCAGTGTCGATATTATGTATTGATTTGCTATTATTGCTAAAATTATTATCTACATTATCAATGGCTAATAATATTTTACAAAAATGCAAAGATAGTAAAATTAATAATAAAATTCGAGACAAATGTCTATACATTTTTTATTGTTGAAAAAACAAATATATATTAACATATATTTAAAAACATTAACATATTAAAATATTAACAAATATAAATATATTTAATTTTATACAAAAATTATAAAGTTTTTAGAAATTAAAACTTAAACACAATTTTATAATATAAACATTAAAATATCATATTTTTCGATGACTGATATACAGTACAGTATTTTTGATATTAAATACATTGATTAGTAGTTTCATAGATCAGGAGTTTTATGAGTTTAATGCAATGACCAGATATTATATCAGTTATATCAATATATAAACACAATTTAATAATCTTATAATAAAAATTTAATTTCTAATACGTAATTAAAATGTTTTTATTTATTGTATATATACTTCATATTATAATATATATTATGATGTACTGTATATTATAATATTTCATTTTAAATAATTTGTTTAGATTATTATTCATATTTGTTAAATGATATCAACATATAAAACATTTTTAAATATATAATATATATATATTTATAATTTATTAAAATTATTTTAAAAATTTATTTATGCAAACGACATGATAATTGATTTAATTTGCCTGGGTCTTTTTATAGAATAGAATTTGTCCTTGAAATTTTTTAAATTAATAATACAATCAATTGATTGCTCACACTCTTATAATAATCACAATTTATTTATCTAATCTAATACAGTATTTTCACATTAATTATCATTAAATGATAAATTAATAAAGAATTTTATTTAAAATATTTGCAAAGTTCATAGTGTAATATAAATGTTATTTTTAAATACAATTAATCATATTTTTTCTCAACATATACAACATAAATGAATCAATTATATCTATAAATAAAATAACATATTTGTTGTTACAGTATAGCCTGTATTATGATAGAAATATGAATAAATCATATTACTAATTAAAATTATAATTCATAGTTATGAAATATATTGTCTTTTATAAATAATAGTAACAATAAAATATAAATACAAATAAATATAAATAAATATTTTAATTATTTGTTTTATTAAAAACAGTATTTACATTAGATATATATTTTTGTTTGCTTTTACGTTTAGCCGCCCAATTGGCTCTCAATATATTTGCAAATATAATACCGGATAATGAGAAAAGTACGGACACTGTCGGGTAAAACCAGAATATCGGGTCATTGGCGGCCATACGTATGCTCAATGATGTGTTGTATATCGTAAACGCATTATAAATGATAAAAACACACATATTCTCGATGTAAGCGCCAATAGCACCGGCATAGCATGCGGGCAGTCCTATACTGAAAAGTACAATAAATTCAGTTCTCCATAATGATAATATTTCAATGTCCTCTATGGCCAATACAAGCATCGTTATGCACACCGGTATACCCGTCACACACATACAAATAAACCACCATTTAATATAAGGTAAATATTTTATAAGAATAACACACATTATCTAAGTTAATATAAATACTTAATTTTCTTATAAACACAATATATATTTTAAAAAATATTTGATTTATTTACAAAATTGTGTCTTATAGTCAAAAATATTACGGAAGTGATTTATAAAAATTGTTTCATTTGATGACATTTATGTATCTTTAATTTGTTTGCATTGAGAATATAATGAATTTATTTATAATGATTTTGTTAATTTTGAAAAGTGCAAGTAATTTGGTTTAATATAATGTAATATAGAATACAATGTAATACAATGTAATACAATGTAATACAATGCTAATGTAATCCACATTCAATTATTGTGTAAATAAATTATTTGTCTTTTTGTATATTTAAGGTTTTATCTAAGGTATAGATTTTTATAATGTAAATAATAATATGTGATATAATAACTTAAGTTTATTGCAATAATTAAATACAAATACAAATAACTATATAAACTTATTAATTAAAATTTGGTAAAAATGTTTTAAAAATTTAATATTTATAATATTGATTCACAAACTTCTTGTGTTTCTTTCTTTATTGGAGTTTATAAATTTTACTTTAAATTTTGATAGAAATTAAAAATACAATTTTTTGTAATATTCACATTTTACATTTCTCTTAATCTAAATGGACATAAATGACAATTAAAATTTAAAAAGTTAATATTTAGGACACAATTTAATGTAAGCTTTTATGACATTTATGACAATAAGAATTTTCGAAGATTTTATTTCTTATAGTAAATTGTTAAAAGTATTAATACATATTTTTAATGATTTTATTGAATACTCAGTGTATAATATTATATATATATATATTACTATCAATATACAGGTATATTAATAATACAAATGCTTTTAAAACTAAATTTAATATCTTTCAAGTTTGGCTTAAATATAGTTAATTTATAAATTATAGATTTAAAACTTTCTATAAATATACTATAAGTAAATACACAATTTATTTTAATTACAAATTTTATTTAATTTTGTTTTGTATTATTATTAAAATATAGTATAAATATACATTTTAGGCAATAATTTCAATCAGTTATAGATTTAGATTATTATATTTATTATAAAACAGTGACATCACTTGATTTAGGTCTGTACTTATTTTTGCGTTTTTTGGTCCAATAAATACGTAAAATATTCATAAACATCATCGATGGTAATGAAAATAATAATGAAATTGTCGGATAAAACCAATAATATGAATCACTGTAAGCTATTTGAAAACTTAATGTTGTGTTGAGTGTTGCAAAAATAGTATAGAATATAAATATAAATACATTTTGTATATAAGCGCCAATAGCACCGGCCAAACATAATGGTATACCCAAACTAAACAATACAATCAAATAGATTTTCCATTCAATAAACACTTGAAACTCAATTGTTAAAATCAATGTAATTAATGTTACACACAGAGGAATGCCCATTAAGCACACACCTACAAACCACCACTTAATATATGACAAATATTTAAGTAGAAATCTTATAACATGCTTAAATAAATTCATTATTTTTAACTTTAAATTAATTCATTATTTTTAAACTTTAAATTAATTAATTTTATAAATTTGTTGATTATTATGATCATTTTTTTGTGATAATACTACATGTTTTTTTACTTAAAAAGGTGCAAATTTTATATACAAATAAATAAAATTGATAATTATCCATGGTTACTTATTCTTATATTTATACTGTAATTTAGCAAAAACAATATAAAAATAAAATATGAGTAATTTATATGACGATTAAATATGTTTCGTTATCTTATAGTACGTTTGAATACACTTTTATTTAAGACGCTTTATTCAAACTTATATATATAATTAATAAAATATATAATTAGTTTATAAAGTTTACTAAAAGTTATGCATTGTTAATTTAAACATAATTTATAATTTATAACTATTTGTTTTACCCTGTATCTATTTATAATTTTAAATTATTAAAGATTAGATGGAAGTTTATACAAAAATATATTTGTTTTAAATTATTAAAACCACTCATTACTATATAATGCTATATAGTGTATTTATTCAACGATATTGTTATATTAAAATCATCAATTTATTTATAAATATATAATAGTATTTACATAAGTTGTTTATAAAACATTTTATTTTTTTTATTATATTTTAATTTATATTAATAATGTTTTTCAATATAAATAGTCTTTGAAAATTAAATTGTTTATTGTTAATAAACAATAATTGAAATACAATTTAATATTTAATAAAATAACAAATAATAAAATAACATTGCATTTCAATGATGACAAAATATTATTAAAAATTGTTTTGTAATAAATGTAATATAAAAATACAATATTTTAAAATAAAAATAATAGTATGATAAAGTTAAAAATAAAATATTCAGTATATAATAACTTAATTTTAAAATTTTCTAAAAATAAATATTAATATCTAAAATAATGCAAGTATTTTTTATTATATTTAGTTATATTTTATTTATTAAGATTACTTTTATACAATATATATTACTTGTCTATATTTTTATATAACATTTATTACTAAGATTACTATTAATCCTTTAAAGGTTTCTAAAATTGATGTTAAAATAAGCAATATATCAAAAAAGTGTTTTTATTTGCAAAAATGACAATAAAGTAATAATAATAATAATAATATTTTGAGTGAGTTATCAATTAACATATTGAATAATATATTATATTTTCTATGTAAGTAAAATGAAAATATATTTGACATGTTTGTAAATAAAAGTATTATTATAGACAAATAATTTTATTTAAAAAAAAATGTTGTTATCGATAAAAAATTGCACATATTGTTGGACATTGATATGTTTGACATTTATGGCACTACTATATAATATATTTTCAATATTGCTTTAACAATATTATAACTTTTTTCTAAGTCGTGGACATTACGTGTATTGAATTTATGTGGGTTTTCATCTAAAAAAAGTAACCAAATCTATAGTTAGTTCATAAATTGGTGATGTTTTATCAATACTCTACTATATTTGTTATATACAATATATTTAATAATACAGTAGAGAATATGTGATTAAACATTCATTGCTTACATCACACTTCAAGACCATAGCATTAAATATTCTTATATTAAATATATGAACTATAAAAAAGACATGTACTGTATATACCGTATATGAAATATCTTTTTTATTAAATAAAATAATTGTATTTTTAAGTATCAAATTTAGTTTTATAAATCTAATAAATATATTTTATTACCAAGTTTGTAGTTCAATATCACTTTTTTTTATTTAGTTGTAAATATGTATAAAAAGCGAATTTTGTTTTAAATATATTACAAAATGTATGAAAATTTATGTTTCATACAATGGTGTAATAAATCAACAAATAAATGGATATTTGCGAGTTTATGTTTAATAGGATGTCCCATCTATTTGATATTATTTTATTCAATTTAAACACGAAATATAACTTATATTATACAATAGTATCAGTCATTGGTGTTGTAATAAGTGTACTACCTTTGGGTGCATTAGGGGTTTACCGACAAAATTATCTGTTATTTTTGTTTTATATATTATGTCATTCAACACTTACGATGGCACGAGAATTGCCATTAAAGACAAAAAAAATTGTTTTTATCTGTTTCTCTGTTTTATGACAATAATCGCATGCGTTTTATATGCGGATGAATTGAGAAAAAATTAATAATATAATAACAACAAAATTGTCAACAATATTATAATTGTAAAATAATAAAATTTTAATATTTATAAATTTTATTTCAAATTAATTACCATTTAATTATAAATAACAATAATTAATTTACTTTTTAATACATTTATTAAATTATATAACATTAGTTAAAATTGATGACAAATATTAGCAATTTTATTTAAAGTGTTGACATTAAGACTTAAAAGCTTAGTTTGTGACACCTTTTGTTGGGCCAACAAATGCTGGAAATCTGTGTTGTGATCGTCAATGTTATTGAATGATACAAATTGTTGAGTTATTTGAAATTCATTGATAAAAAACAATTGATTGGTTGTATAATTAAATTTGTGTTCACTATCGATACCAATCACTGAATATCCGTGAATCCTATAGATAAGTCCATTTGATTTGCCAATAACTATATGACCCTCATTACAATCATAGATACAGGAAATGTGTGAATAGGATTGTTGGCATTTATGCAAATTGTCAAACAGATAGGCAGTAGTGGATAAAAAATGTTTCGGATCATTTTGACCAAAATAATATAACTCATTATCAGTATTTAAAATATATGACTTTGTGTCGCTGCACACAATTGATTTGATTTCAAAATGTTTGTTTAATGTAATACACATTGGTGCATTGGTAAAGGGTGCAATGTTGCAACCTAACTGTCCATAACTATTATCACCCCAACCATAAATGTCATTATTCATAGTAAGTACCATTGAGTGATTAGCCCCACAGGCAATAGCCCTGGCCCTGGGAATTACTAATAGAATTGGTGTACTTAAATAATCATTTTTACTATTACCGCCAACTTGTCCGCACTCATTATTACCCCACGAGTAGACGTTACCATTTGAGGACAGTGCCAATGAATGATGAAAACCGCACTGTATATCAATTATATCTTTATCCTTAAGCCACATATTTTCAATAAAGTATTCAACTTTATTTAGATGATTCAAACCCAACTGTCCCATATTATTTTGACCAAAACAATATATCGTATTATTATTGGTTAACATTAGCATAAAATTCAATCCACGAGACAGTTTGACCACAATTTGATTACCAGTCAGGTCTATCAAATGCACTGTTGTCTCCAATGGTATCAGTTGTTTGGTTCCGAGACAACCGTCCATATTTTCAGCGTACAAATAAACTTTATTATCATTTGTTATATAAATGTAATTTTTGCCGTTTGAATCGTTAAAAACATAAATTAATTTTATGAAATTATTGCCGAGATTATCATTTATTTTGTTTATTACTTTATTATAAATGTCTAGCATTTTAGACATTATTAAAAACATTAAATACTATATACTGTACTACCAATATATTTAAAATAAAAATAGTATATTATAGCATAAATAACAAAATTATTTACTTATATATATTGCATGATTTTGATATTGAATCATTATTATTTAAATTATTTTATCATTATTAAAATTAAAATAAAGAAACTCTTTATATCCAAAATAGATATATTTTACTAATAAAAATATTTATACTCTATTTTAACTGTATCTTATTATCATATATTAAATATTTACACTTTATAATTAATTTTACAAAATAAAACCACAAATTAATATAAAATACAGATGTTTTGTTTTTTTTGTTAAATTTTTGAAAACAAATTTATAGTTGAGATGATAATAAAACATGAAAAATGGATATAATGTAATACGTGTTGTAAGAAAAAAGATAATATTACTTTATTATACAATACACTTACATTATTTGAGATTACATTGTAATAGCAATTATCAAATTACAAATTATTATTTATTATATCATTATAAGTTGTGATTTATAATAGTAATATATAACTAATAAATGTTTCTTATAAAATATTATTATTAAATGGGTTAGTAATTGCATTATTTATTACTGTGTTTCTATTAATTATTTATTAGTAAAATAATATTAAAAGACATTAGATTCATACTTAATAATTTTATGATTACTTTTACTGTAAAAACTATTAGTAATTATGAATCTATTATCTCATTGTGTTTGCATTCATTAAACTCATCCAACGACTGTTCCCAAAAAGGGCGTCCATCAGAGCACAGGGCGTTCACCACTTGTCTCTTGTATTTTAGGCGATTTTTGGCCAACCATTTCATACGACAGTCACAATGCAAGAAATTACCGGAAACATTAACTATATTCATAATATCTAAACTGAGGAACGGGTCAAATATGAATTCATCTAAATGTGAGAGTTTATTGTTAGACAAATCCAAATAAATGGTACGTTTGGTGTTGAGAAAGACTTCGCCCTCAAAGCTGTTACCCGTCAACTGATTGCCCGACAAATCAATGGTCAGTCTCTCAAATGAGGCAATCCTCATATCAAACGCATGACTTGATATGTACTCAATTTGGTTACCAATTGATATATGCTTTAAATGATAGGCACTGTCATAAAAAGCATACTTTCCTATTCTATGTATTGTCCCATTGATGGTCAGATTCTTGAGCGCCCATTGATTACCCAAAAGCGGTTTTATTGCATAATCAGGTGTGGCATAAATGTTTAGTCCACTAATATTTATATTCTCAATGTTTATGAGTGACCCGATAGCCTCAAACAGGTTATATCCATTAGAAATGCTTACCAACTGACCTTTGGCCTCAATGGTCAGATTTTTAAGGGTGAGTCGTGTGGCACCAAATGCATTGGTATGTATTTGTCGCAGATTTTGACCATTTGTGACCAAAATATTATCGAAAGTCAAATCACCAAAAGTTAATTCCTGTAATTCCAGTAATTGTCGACAATTTATAGTTAATGATTTAAAATGTCTTTCCTTCCAATTAAGTGTTTTAGAAAAATAATCAAAAATTTGCTTTAAGTCAATGTTTTCAATACTTTCGCATATAATTGTTGTGTCATTTATACAAATACAAGGAGTAAACAGCGGTTGGTATTGAGCACCGGGACATTTGCCACATCCAATTAAATGAGATTCATATATCAATAAAATTAAGACAAACAGATTGCCTATAATAATATTAATTAATATTATAATATAAATATAGCATAATATTTATATTTTTATAAGTATTTTAATTTCAAAAAATATACCTGATAATTTCATTATTGTTGACTATAATAAAAACTTCAATTTGATTTAAATAAAATAATATGTTTTCAATGTCAGCATAATGTCTATGATTATTACCGATAGTAATAATGTTTAACACAATTGAAATTTGTAAAAACATTTTTGTTTAGTTAAGTGAATAAATAAATGTCTGTTCAAATAGTCCGGGAGTACTGTATTTCAATACCAGGATATGTCATATTCTGTATAATTAATATTAATACAGTATATACAGTACAGTATTGTATAATATTATAATTTTATCAATTTGTTTGTCAAAATTAAATCAAAATGAATTGAAACAAACTATGTTTCAAAGTTATTCATTGTGTTGAAAGTAATTATCATTTTGTTTACTCTACTGTTTTGTTTAGCATTTACTATAAGTTATTTGCTTTTTGATTAAATGTCAAAATTAATTAATTAAATTAAATTTATAATTAATGAAATTTAAAATAATTGTATTCATTAACAAATTTCAAATATTTCTCAATAGATGGCAGCATAACTTTTATTAAATTTAGTAGTACTTATAATTAATTTATTTTAAAATTAAGTAATTAATAATTAATTAGAAAATTTATAGTTTAAAAATCAATATTTTTGATACTATAAGCTAAATAATATTATAAAATTATCAATATTATCATATAATAAATCTGAAATTTTTGTAGCATTTTTTATACATACAAATATTGTTTAAATAAAAAGTCATTATTTGTTTTTTTAATATTTAAATAAAATATTTTAAATATTATAAGATTAAAAGTATATTTTTCTTTTAAAAATATATAAACCATATATTTAAAAAATAAAAGACATTTTATATATTCTTTATATTCCATTAAAAGCTTTAATATTACTTAAGTGCTTAAGCGTACCGAAAATTTTTATTTTTAAAAGCTTAAAACATAAGGGATTTATGTTTTTTAAATTGCAATTTAATTAAATAACAGTGTAATATTATACATTATATTTTAAAAATATCATCTTATAAAAAATGTTTTTTATGTTTATTGATAAACATTATAAATTTATAATTGGCATTGTTATTGTTTATATTAAATTGTAATTAATTAATTAGTTTTTGTAAAATATCAGTTTTATTTATATATTTATTAAATCCATTATTGATATATAATATCACCAATGCTATAACTAAAGATAAAATATATTTTATAAACTTTTTAGCTTATGTGTCATAATAAAATATTATAGTATTATTTTAAAATTATTATCTTAAAAACAGTCTCAATAGTGATAATCAAATTATATACCTAACACTTATTGATGTCCAGATTTATATGAAATAAAGCACTTTAACAGTAAATAAATATCATTTTTACGATTATAATAAAAACGGATTCTCATAGCTATTACTTGACACTAAGTTTTTGTATGACTATCGACAAGATTTTATTGATATATTTTATTTTAAAAAAGATATTATCAAAATTTTTTATTAGTTTAGACCATTAAAGTTTTATAAATAAAGTAAACATTATTAATTCAATTTTTAGCATTCAAAACAATTTTTATTATATTATAATCAATATCTACAAATGTAAATTCATATTAAGTTCTGTATTATCGTATTTTTATAAAAATTTAATTAAAATAAATATTGAAGCAATTTTATTTACTTTAAAAATGAGGAAATAAAAAAAATAATTTTAGTTATATTGAAGCAAAACTCGTATATTTTAATAAATAAATTATATTAAAACATTATTTACTTTTTATTTTAAATAAGGAACAAAATTTATTTACAACAATAATATATTTTTTCTGCAAAAAAAATTATATTAAATCAAATAATTACATTTAGATACTAATTAATACAAAACCATACTATAAACACAAAACAAGATTATTAAGTATGCATTTGATATTATATTTTGATCGCCTTAATAATAATGATATTGTATTAAATGATTAATATTAATGACTGTAAATACAATTATGGTATAAAATTTTATACTCAGAGATATTTTTTGTATATTAAACAAATGTAAAATTATAAATGATTTCACTTTAAATGATAATATGTATATATGGTTATGAGGTATTAAAGTAAACTTAATAGTTTTACACATTAAATCTAAATTATAATAAATACTGTATAATGTACAATAAAATTATAATTAATATGAAATAAATAAAATATAATAATGTTTAAATATTAACAAACAACTACTGTAAATATAAATTATTTAACAAAAACTATTTTAAAAAATCAATGATAATCTAATAAAAATCTATAGTTAACTAACAAATCAATTTATTGATTAAATTTTTGAGTCAATTGTAGCAACAATTTTGCTATTATTAGTCATTGCTTCGGTGGATGTGATAATGTTTTGTTGTCTTTGGCTGTTTTGTTGGCCATTGTTTTGCTTTAAACAGTATTTGCGGCGAATGTATATAATTATGAACAAAATAATCAAAAATATGACCAAAAGTATGAAAAAGCCTAAAACCACAGCCAAACCGATATATAGTTCAGAGTAATCGGTGTCGTACCCTATGATTAGGCAAATCAAAACATAATAATAATTATTTATACTTTATTTATAATTATTTAGTTATTGAGATATAACACTATAACAATATTTCCATAGAATTCATATATTAAATATAAATATTAATAGCAATAATCAATAATTGCAAATATTTTAATGCATTATTTAATTTATGTGGTTTTATAATTTGAATATTGAATTAACATATCTATTGAATTATAAATATATACTGTATATACTGATAATTGATATATAATATATAGTTATAATTATTAAAAAAAAATCTTTTTCTATATAAATGTTTATTAAATAAATAAAATATTACATATATTTAAATATATTTAAAATAATAATGTGTGTATATTTTTATTTATTAATTAGTGCACTTATAAAATTAAAAAAATAAACTATTTTATTTAAACAATCAAATGCTAAAAATTGTAAGCAATTAGTATAATCATTGTCTTTTACATATTAATTTTTTAACTAAACTATTTATATTCAATCAAATTTTTGAATTGTTTTAATACCAATTTTAATACAGTATATATTTATAGTAACTAATAATTTCGTTACATCTCATAATTTTTTATATAAATATATATTAATTTATAATTTATGTGGTAAATGATAATAAAAATATACTTAAAAATATAATATAACTCATTTTTCTATTTAAGATTTTAATAAATAAAGTTAGATTTAGTTATTATATAATTTACATTATATATTGTATATATACCTGTATCAATAAATATGCATATATTAGACATTATAGTGGAAATAATGTATAGTACATATCGTAATAAAAAAATTAAGTAAAAGATAAATATTTGAATTTTAGAATTCTTGTATAATATATTTCTTAATGTTATAATATGTTATAATATTTGTAAGTATAGTACAGTATAAATATAAAACTTATATACAGTTTGTAATTTATACCCTCAAAGAATTAAATGTTTAATTATTTAAGAAGTATGAGATATTTTAACCAAACAAAGTTTAAAATAACAAAAAATAAATTAGGTTTTTATTGATAAATATTAATACCCAATATCAATAATTTTAAACTTTTCCAACATAAAGGAGGTGGGGACTTTTTCAAAAATATAGTAAAAAACATTTTTAAAAATTTCATTTTAGAAATTGTAATTTTATCATTTGTACAATCTATTATATCATTACAATATAGACACTAAAAGAGCGAGAAAATATATTATTATTTTTAATTTATCTTGGTTAGTTTTTCTAAAATACTATTTATTGAAAATTTTAAATAAATTAGATGTAAACAAAAGTCCCTTAATGTTGAGAGGGGTTGAGAGGGGTGGAACTTATTTAATTTATTATAAAAAAAACTCAATTATTTCTTGTTATTTTAAACTTTGGTTAAAATATGTTTAATACTTTTTAAGTAATTAAACATTTATTTATTAGAGGGTATAAATTACATACTTTATAATTAACATAATAGTAAAATATAACTACTAAATATTTTATAAGTAATTTTGAATATACGGTATATAATTAATAAAATTTAAATTATATTATTCAATTTTTAATATATTATTACTGAATATATTTAATTAATAGTTAAATACTGATTTGATGACACATATTTTTAAACTTATAAAATTAAAATTAAATTTTAGTCAATAATTGCAATTTGAAATTAATATTTGAACAAAATTATACAATTTCCTAATGACAGAGACATCAAATAAACCATAATACAACTGTATATATATATATATATATATTATATACCGTAGTATACAATGTAAGTATATATTAGTTATTTATATAACTCTTAATCTTTAATAATCATAATAAACGGAAACATTAATTCATATAATATTTCCATATCTTCAGATACTGTACAGTAATTTATGATAATTTCTCAAATAAACTCATTTTTAATAAAAACCGAAAAGAAATTCATTTAATTTGTGTAATGCCTTGTTATTCAAAAGTAACATAAAAAATAGATAAAAATATTTTTAAACATTTTCTGAATACATGTTTAACAAAATTGAGAGATTAAGTGAATGAATGAGTACTTATTGAGAAAACAAAGTTTGTTAAAAATCAATATTACGCGGGATTTTAACCCTTAATATAGAGTATATGATGATATATATTTGTGTTATAGAGATAAAGAAAAATCATTTAAATATAAGACATTTTATTTGACAAGAAGTTTCATTTGTTCATATAATGATCGATGATTTCCAACATAACTCACACACAAAAAATACATTATTTATCTATATATGGATATATAAAATCTGCATATAGTTTCCATGTATATATCGATGTAAATTTATCAATATATGCACGTTTTTATAAACCATTATTATATAGATCTATATTAACTAATTCAAGAGGACGAGTATATATCGTATAATTTGCATAAAATATTTGTACACTACTATTGTTACAATACTTGTTGGAGATTTGGTATACAATAACTCAATTTTAACATATAAGAAAATATTGAATAT